AGTGAGATACCAGATCTCATTGCTGCCCTGTGCCTTGTGTTCCGGAGGCAGAGAAAAAGAGAAGGGAATATAGGTTTTGGAACAGCTTTTTATTTTAGCTATGGATCATGCATTTCAGGTTTCGAAAGTAAAGACTACTTGCGGACTTCTGGAACATGCTCTTCTCTGATTGCTTCTCTGTAGTTTCTGGTTATGCCATTTTGAAAATAAATTATGTGGATGTGCTAGGAATTGCTTTCATCTTGTGCTTTTAACACATTCATACAGACTCGAAACAATTACACGGTCCTGCGCCAAGCTTTTAGATAAGCTAGAGGGTACGCTGGTGCTTAGAAAGTGTCATGTGAGAAAAAGCAGTATTCTTTCATTTATGCTTCTTACAGTCTGTTACTGGAAACTCCTTTCTCAGATTACGAAAATTCAAACAAAAGAGTGAATAATTGTTGAAGAACTCAGAAGAAAAGATGTTTGGGGAATCTTGCTAGTTTTCTGAATGTTTCTTCTTAAACTTCATCATCACGGAAAGTAACAGTACTGCTACATGCACAGGAAAGTAAATCTTTGGTTTTAAGCTTGATGTGATTCCTGCAGTACTGCAGAATATGAAGCTTACTGTTCTGAAAGAGGATATGTGGAAACGTGGGCAACGTAAGAATGTGGGACCTAACAGCTGCCAGAGCCTAGGCTTTGCTGTAGCTGTAGGGCTGTAAACTCCTTGAGAGTTAAAGAATTAAGCCAATTTTAAGAGCTGGTTAAAGGATAGTACAATTGAACTGCTCAGAACTAACCATCTTTCACTTCACTTTTGTTATGTGACATTTACTACCGCTTTCCCACTCAAGAGGAAGCTGAATGAGAATCAAAGTATTGAATTGCCACTGTCTTGTAGTGAAGGTTGATCAGGTTTCGCCAAAAATGATCTGTTTCTTGGCCATGAGAAGGAAGCATCCAGTTTTTTGAAATTTGTTAATCTGACTTGGTACTGTGAGTAGTTATGCCTGAAGCTGCAAAGGCATTACTGTTCTTCCTGTGTGTAAAGAGCTTGTCTTTAGAATAAAATGTTTTTCAACTAAGATGGGAGCATGAATCTGCAGAAATTGTTTCTTGTACTGGAAAACCCAGACACATAAAAGCTTCATATATTCTTAGAACTACTGAAGAGCCTTTTTCTCTTGAAGAGGAATGTTGAACACAATCTGCCTTTATGAATGATTAGTCTGTTGGTATTTTTAAAAGCAACACACTGTTCATACACCCTTTTGTACTATCTGCAAAATCGCCTTGGTAGTATTGAAGACCAGTCTTGGCAGCTGCAGCTTTCAGAAGCTGTTTTGAGGAACTTTGAAGAAGGTGTCATCAGTTTTTAAAGGTTTTGTTGTTTTGGTTTAGTTTTTCTTGGAAAGATTCCTGAGCACTGACTTTCGCTTTAATTCCATTTGTGTCTGAATTGTTTGGAATACAATAGTAGAATGAGGCAAATGGAAAGCTGGTCTACTGGTTCAATAACAGAGGAAAAGAATCTTATTTCGTTAGTGACTGTGACCAACTCATCAATGGATATACAACGCTGACTAAAAGAAATGCCAGGTTATAATACACATTGTATTTTTTACTAAATTATTGTTAAAAAATTAATTAAAAATAGGAATGCATCTACAGTGTACACAGTGTCATTCATGCATTATTGTTTTTTTAGTGATGACCTACTGGAGGATTCAGACAGTGAAGAGCATTCCAGATCAGAATCTGTGACAGGTAGGTTATATCTGATCCATGTAATAGTTTAGAGGTCGGGAGGGAAATTGTTCTTCTCAGGTTTTAAAAAAGCCCTGTCAAAAGCAAAGGATATTATATTTGCTGTCTTAGGAAAAAAAAAACACCTTGAAAGCAGTGCCACTGTTTAAGTCTGTCTGTATGATGGAGAGATTACATACAGGAGAAAAGAAAAACACTACTTTGTTGGTTAATAAACGTCTTATTTGACAGCAAGCACTGCTTATCTTGCTGTCAATAAAACACACAAACCACGTTAAAAGAACTTACTTAGAACAGGAACAAATTACAGCTGCACAAACCCCTTTAAATTCAGGGGATTGCCAGAGAGGTTTCCTGTATCTTGATTGTCCCTGTGGGTATGCACTTTGATAGAGTATTTCTCTTCCTGAATAAAGATTTCATATGGAAGCAGAACCGTGCTATGCATGGTGTTCTTGTGTTATTTTCTTAAAGGTTGAATCAGAAATTTTGATGGGAGAGAGGATTACGATGCGTATTTTCCGTATTCAGTTTACATCTTTGAGTAAGGATCAGCAAGTGAGGTAGAAGAGAACATGTGCTTATGCAAACATACAAGGGAAGTAGACTTGAGATGTAAAAAGAAATTAGAAATTTATTTTAAAAAAATAGAAGTATTAGCAAAGATGGTTCTCTGTCATTTATTCTTGTCTTCTCTTAATCTGGGTGTGTATGGTGTCCTTTGTAATCTTTTAAATCTCTATATTACTTAGTTGAACTCTCCTGATTCATTGTTATTCTTGCAGTACTGTTTAATTTGATCAAGCTCTCTCTTTTAAGTTTTTACTGGGTTTGGTTTTATAATAGCTTGGAGTTCTTTATATTAGGTGGTCTGTTACGTGGTGGGATGTATCAAGTTTTAGAATAAAACGTTTTTCAACTAAGATGGGAGAATGAATATGCAGAATTGCAGATTTTTGATGGTACTGGATTGCCCAGGAAGGAAAGGGAATAATATATGACAGAACATGAATTGATTTGATGGTTAGTTGGATTTTAGTATGATGGTCTAGCATAAGTAGAATAGTTGGTAGGAAGATAATGCTATTTTCTAGGAGGCTCAGTTCAAAGGCTAATGTCCGTTCTCTCTCCTTTAGGTCTTGTTGTTAAAATTAGGAAAACCATTAGTCTACGTAGAAGGAATTTTTTCTGGGCCTCTTATTGTTTCTTGACTATCAAATCTTGAACACATGGAATGTTTTTCAACATTGAAACTGTAGAGCAGTGACTTTTTGCTTAACTATGAGGCTAAGTCTGTAATATATGCAATATGATTCCTTTTTTTGAACATATATTATGTTAAACATTTTTGTTTTAAAGGACATACATCACAAAAGGAAACTATGGAAGTCAGCCTTGATATAACAGCTCTCAGCATTCTTCAGCAACCTGAAAAACTTCAGTGGGAAATTGTCGCAAATGTTCTGGAAGACACGGTTAAGGATCTAGAAGAACTTGGGGCAAACCCCTGTTTGGCCAACTGTAAAAGTGAAAAGATGAAAGAAAAACATCTAGAACAACACAACATTCCCTTTCCTTGTTTATTAGCTGGAGGTTTATTAACATACAAATCACCTGCTACCTCTCCTGTTAGCAGTAACTCTCAGAGGTCACTGGATGGCTTAAGTAGGACTCGAGGTGAGAGTGTCTCGGAACAGGGATCAACTGACAATGAATCCTGCACTAATTCAGAACTGAATTCCCCTCTGGTAAGGAGGACTTTACCTGTATTGCTGCTATACAGCATTAAGGAGTCTGATGAAAAAGCAGGAAAACTCTTTTCACAGATGAACAATATTATGAGTAAAAGTATACATGATGATGGTTTCACAGTTCCACAGATCATTGAAATGGAGCTGGACAGTCAGGAACAGTTGCTCTTGCAGGATCCCCCTGTGACTTACATTCAGCAGTTTGCAGATGCTGCAGCCAACCTAACTTCTCCGGACTCGGACAAGTGGAGCTCTATGGTTCCCAAGCCTGGGACTTTGGTTCAGTGCCTGCGTCTGCCAAAGTTTGCAGAGGAGGAGAACCTGTGTGTAGATTCAATCACTCCTTGTGCAGATGGAGTTCATTTGTTAGTAGGACTACGGACTTGTCCTGTCGAATCTCTGAGTGCAATAAATCAAGTAGAGGCCTTGAATAATTTAAATAAATTAAACTCGGCACTATGTAGTAGAAGGAAGGGGGAACTAGAATCAAGTCTTGCTGTAGTGAATGGCACGAGTATCGATGTAATCCAGCATGAGTCACCAGCAGATGTACCAACTCCTTTAATAATTCAACCTGAACAGAGAAGTGTTAGTGGTGGATACCTGGTGCTTTATAAGATGAATTATGCCACTAGAATAGTTACTCTAGAGGAGGAACCGGTAAAAATCCAGCATATCAAAGACCCCCAAGACACAATTACCTCAATGATTTTGCTCCCACCAGATATATTGGATAATCGAGAGGATGACTGTGAGGAGCCTGTAGAGGAAATACAGTTAACTTCTAAAAATGGCAGTGGGAGAGAGAGAAGATCTGAGATCTCTACTCTTGGGCACCTGGTAATAACTACTCAGGGAGGATATGTAAAAATACTAGATCTTTCGAACTTCGAAATTCTGGCCAAAGTGGAGCCACCTAAAAAAGAGGGCACTGAGGAACCAGATATGTTTGTCTCTGTGATATACTGTTCTGGCACAGACAGATTATGTGCGTGCACCAAAGGTAAGACTTTCCTTTAAAAAACTTTCTTTAATGCGTGACTGTTTCGAGATTATATTGTAGAGTGTTAGAATCTAAGTTTCAAAATAGTAGTAGGCAAATTCCATTGAATTTATGTACAGTTTACTTCTGTTCTAGGGAGCATGAACTCTAGTTAATTCCTCATTTTAAAGATAGATTTTGATCTCTAAAATGGCAATAACTCTTGGATATGTCCAGAGTACTGGTAAACTCGTTCTTGTAGAGGCGCGTTTTTTCTTAAATCCAAATCAAATAAAAGTAGTTCTTGTATGTAATTATTTCTGTGCTAGAGATCCATGTTTCAGAAAAATGTCTCCTGTCTGTAATTGGCAATATTCAGGAGAGTAGACAAGATAACACTTTTATACCTCATTCCAGTGATCAGTTGTATCTTCTTTAAGATAGGGTTACTGGTTACTTCAGCCTTTCATAATTGGGATTACACTTTCTTGAGCATGAGAGCCAGACTATTCATGAAGGACTGTTAAATCTTTTCAAAATTAACACAAGACATTTCAGGGGAAGGGGGCAGGTAGAGAGGGGTGTGTAACTCAAGTCCAGGCATCTGCTATTTCATAGAAGTCCCTAAACCACCACATGCCTCCCCACTTCCTTGGGTCACGTAGGGGCAATGGTAACAGTGCTGGCTGTCATGCAGCTGAGTTCTTCCATGCACTCATGTCTTATCTAGTTCTCCTGCACTTGAATGTAGCTGTGGTGGAAAAGCTGAGCCTCTCAGAGGGGCTAAGCTGATGGGATGGTTCACACATTTCAGATGAACTCCCACCAATATCATGTTGAACTTTATCTCTACTAGAAGAATTTAAATTGATGCATTTCCGCCTTTCATGGTTGTGGCATGTTGATTACACAGTCCTCCTGTGAGCAGTTGTTAAATCAGATTTTCGTGTTCTTTCCAACAGGTAAACTCATGCTTATTGTAAAAATCTCATGTCTCTTAAGCACCTTGTGTTTATCACTTACCTTTCAAGAGTTTTAGCAGTGGAGATTTTACATTTGCTTTTTTAATATGGATGAAAATGTCAGCAACTACTATTGATGTTTGCAAATTGCCATTGGAAACATTCATGTTTACTAAATTGTTCTCTTTTGGTAACTGCTTTTGAAGAAATGTCTATTACACTGTTTTAGCTTTATTTAATAACACGCTTTTTCTTAGTTTAAGTGTAACTGTAACTG